TAGAAATAGCATTTGCTTGAATACTGTACTTACCTGCACTCTTTCAGTACATCAAGATTACTGTGTATATTTTACAGAATATAATAAAATCCAAATGTGAGAATTGTATAATGTATAATTTATGTATCATTATGGAGTACTGAGAATTAAGTCAAATTTATTGTATTGAAACCTCAGATTTATAAATCTTATTGTGCAATGCTTTTTTATTTTCTTTATTCTAAAGCAATAATTAGCTTAACTGGTATCTGAATTAGCAGTAATTCAGATATTTAAATATATATATTTTTGGGACTTTGTTATCTTTTTATTTAATTTGGATTTAATTTCTGAAAGAATCATAGCTATTATTGGGCAGTTGAAAACATCCTGAAAGTCTGAGGTTTTCTGTATCACTTTATATACAGTAATGTCTAAAATGGAATAGATATAAAAGTCTAGTAATTAATTAGCTGGGTATCAACATGCTCTTTATAAGACTTCCTTTTTATTTCACAATTAACTCTGAAAGCAATTTATTTTATAAATGAAGCTACCAACCTTTCGAACATTTGAATTGATGAACTATAAGACATTTAGTTACTTGTTTTACTCAGTCATTGATTTGTCTTGTATTTTTCTCAAAATCTTTAGGCAGGCAAAAGAAAACACAATAAAACAGTAAAGTCATATTTACCCTATTTAAATAATATCTTCCAATAGCTTTCATTGATCTATATATCAGCAATTAGCAACAAAATCTATGTTAGCCAGTTTTAAAAATACACAATTCTATTCAGATCCTTATAATTCAATCCAGAGCAGCTAAAATAAGCTAAAACTGATAAATAATGTATTTATTTCTTCATTTATATCCTCAATAAAAAACAAAAACAAAATCAGTTAGATTCCAACTTTATATTCAGAGCACATAATTCCCTGAATTGAAATGCTGTGAAAGCTTTTTTTCTGACCTAATATCTAGTGTCTTTTGGAATATAAGCAGGCAATACAAAGAAGGTAGACATAAAATATGGCTCCAACCAGTTTGATAATTTAGAAGATTATATCTGACAAACAATGCAGACAAAAGCCATTCTGGAACAGTAAAAGTAAGACAACCGTAATGAGTACAATATTTGCACAGAATAAAAAGAATACTATAATATTCCAAAACTTAGTACAAATTTTGCTATTTCACCATCAAATGTAAAAGACAATGTATGAAACAACATAAAACTATTATATGTGATACTTCATATTGCAGATAAACAAGTCTTAACACACCCCAGTCCTCTCATGAAAAATGCAAATATACTGTTCGTCCTTGACCATTACATCAACTTTTTACAGTCCAGTTTATATCCCAAGATGCCAACAATGCATTATTTTTAGTTTCAGTTCTAGGAACATCTACTTAAGTCAGTTTCCTACCTACAATCGGAATGTAATGTCAAAGCAAAGGGGGTTGACAAAGCATTTGAAATGAATATGCTTCTATAATAAGTGCTTTTCTACAAGGAATTGGATATATAAAAAAGCAGAGGTTACACTCAACACTTGATAGAACGCAATAGAAGTTTTAAATTAGTCCTGTTCAAAAAACCTGAAAAGATCCCTTAGTTCTAAGAAAGTTCAGTTTTGTTTAATATGTATACCTTGGAAATGGTAATTCTGTTTACATTTTATACCATCCTCCCCACAAACGTCAGAATATGAGTTCTGAAAAAAAATAAAAAAGGTTATCACTAAAGATTGCAATAATTTTGAGTAAATTTTTATTTTTATTTCCTAAAAAAGTGAATGAATCGATTCAACAAAATTCAATAAAAAGAAGAATGTATTTCTTTTCTTTTACAACTCTGTAATCACTTTATTCGGGTTGGAGACAAGGTGACTGAGTGGAGCTGAGTGTTTACCGGTTGGATGCCCTTCCTGACACGTATGTGGAGTTTGCAGCAGATATTTTCTCTTTGTGCCCTTGATAGAGAAACATGCCGCTGCCTAGGGTTGCACTCTCAACCATCTGAGGCAAGCATCTCCACCTCTAGGCCACATCACTGCTCAAAAGAATAATAATGTATAAGTCCCTGATATTCTTCATATAACCTTAAATACCTGGATCTCAGAATAGAAATCTGAAGGGATTTTTTTTAAAAAAATGTATAACTACAAACTTTAATTTGTTTTATGTGAAGAGACCAATTAAGCTATTTGCTTGATTACAGGTCAAATATTACTTTACTTTCTCCCCAGAGTTACGGTGTATTATGGTGCTTTATCATGATGGAAAGGTATACCAGTAAGGGATAAGTGAAGAATCCTGAGAGTTGGCATGAAGATCATCCCAGCTGCCCAGCTAAAGCTAACAATATATATGTATTGGGCAATAGCAATACAGGAAAATACTGGGAATGGATGATTCATGGCAATGGTAAGAGCATCATTTCATATAGCACAGAAGGTTGCTGTGATAAGCCATTCTTGCTAGATCAGGGGTCTGCAACCTTAAAAGCTCAAAGAGCCATTTGGACTCATTTCCCACATAAAACACCTGGAGCTACAAAATCGCTGGGTGTGGCCAACTTAATGTCACTCACTCCCACCCAGTCACATGACCCACTAAGCCACGCCTACCCAAGTTTTGTGACTCCTGGTGTTTTCTATGGGAAACCGGATCTCTCATCTCTCCCATCTCTTTCTATCTCCCCATCTCTCCCATATCTTTATCTCCCTCCCTCTCCCCCTCTCTCTTGCTCCCTTCCCCTCCCCCCTTTCATCTTTTTCTCTCACATCTTTCTGTCTCCCCCCCCCCCTCTCACTATCTCCCTCTCATCTTTTTCTTTCTCTCAATCCCCTTCCCCTACTTCCCAACATACTCCCAGGGAATAACTAAGGAAATTCAGCCATGTTTTGTCTCTGGAAAGATACAAAAATAAATCTTGCATTGTAAAAGGGATGACTGTCAGGCTGTTACATCACAGCACCATGAGGTTGCTGCCTTAGATCGCCATACACACTTCAGAGAAGCATCATCCCAAGCAGCAGCACACTCACCCAGGCATGCATACACATTCTGCAACTTGGTCCAAAATGGCCAGAAAATATAGTTGCCAGGAGCTCCTGAAGACACTTGTCAGGCAAAGTATGGGATGACCCCCATTCATAGCAAAGGCAGTGTCCACTGAATTCCTACAAAACTGGGCAAAGGCAGAGAGGGGGGAGCAGAAGAAGCCAAATCGAGCCATATCTGTCTCTGCATCTCTCTCACTGCCTGACTGCAGCAGGAAATGGCGGGCCGCTACTTCTGAACTTGCTTGGTGCTAGATGTGCAACCTGCTCTCTAGCCCAAGAAAGAGAGTTGCTAGGGGCGAGTATGGCAGGGTGGCATTGTGACTCTTGAGTTGTAACAGGCTCCAGGAGGAGGAGGGAACCCAGTCTCCCCCATTGTGAAGCATGCTTTCACTGTGCTGCACAAGGCGCGAGATCAGCAGGCAGTGTCAAGGTTCCAAATAGCATCCAAAAGTAAATCAAAGTCCGAATCAAAAGATTTCTCAAAGTTCCAATTTATAAAGAGAGCCATGTTGGCACATCTGAGAAAACCCAAATCTGAAAGTTTCCCGGTTTTCCCACCCAGTTGAAAGTTCAAGATCTTACCCCCACGCCCACAAGTCCATCACATGATCCAATCTGCCATACTGGCAGCTTCCACCCATCCAGTTCCAGTCCGGTGCAAAGTTGCAGAGACAAAAGATGACTTTGGCTTTCTATAATTTTTTTGTATTGGCTACATATCACACAGTTCCATATAATCCCCCTCTAATTTTCCCACAATAGAAAATGCATAGTAGAATAATCAAAAGTGTGGCAGGTCTGAGATCCAAAAGAAAAGATGGCTTGAAGGCCTGATAGGCAAGGCATGGAGGGAATATTGGGTTTTCCCCCTGCCCCACACCAAAAGGAAAGCCAGCCAGGTTTCTCCTCCTTCAAGCCTCCCTACCCTTCCCCCTGCTCCCTTTGCCCTACCCTCCCCACTCAATCCCACTTTGGGTCAGAGGCGTACTCACTGGAAATGCAGGTTGGGGTGACATCGTAGTGTGTCTTCTGAGCCTCCAGCAATCAGGTACTCCTCCAAGCACAGCTTGCTGGGGAGAGGGAGAGCAGCCCTGTTGCTTCTGCTTCCTCCCCTCCACAGCCCCAGCCATCGCTGCAAGGCTTCCTCAAAAGCGCTATGCATTTCAAAGGGAGGAGCTCGTGTCTGAAGGTGCCAAACAGTTTCTTGCTGTGAGAACCGGGCCAAACCTCTCTACCATCTGACTCACCAATGGGGGCACTTCTGCCAGGCCAGCCGCCACATTTTCTGCTGGGCTTTTGTACTCTGTGCTTGACAAGGGAGGGGATCACTTTCCTACACCACCCCCTTCTTTCTCTTGGCCCAACCGACGAGGGAAGATGAAGGCCAAGCTTGGGAGATTACCCCACCCCACAAGATCTGCTCCCACCATTCTCTTCCAGCCCTCTGCTCGCAGCAATAGCAAATGTACCATGATGAAGGTAGAAGCCTGTTGCCACACAAAGGCAAGTACAAAGATGCACTAATACTCAGTAGTTCATCACTACTGCTGCAACAGTGCAACAGCTTTTTCATCCCTCTGCCATGACAGGGAGACGGAGCCACAGCAGGAGTGAAAGAGCTGAGAGATGAAATCAATTGCTAAATGTGAATGTTAGGTATTAGCAAATTGAAATGACCCTTCAAGTAAAAAAGGGCAGTTTTGAGTTTGTACCAAAGATATACTTGCTTCCAAATGTATGATGTCAGAGATGGCATATTCTGCTACGTTGAAGCTACACCTGTGAAATTCTCTAACGTACAAGGCATTTTGATGAAATAATTCAACTTTAATCATAGTATGTTCCATATACTGTATATGTGCAATAAAAGTCCAAAGGCTTTGAATAATCACATCGAAAAATATTTATTGGGTTCTTGCAGTAATAATTTTGAGACAATATTGGTATCAAAAACTATTTGTATCCCTCTCATACCAGCGCCCATATAGGCCAGCTGTTATTAAACCAGAAGACCCTCCCATTTTGTACATGACATAGGATTTCCCCCCCCAGCCCAAATAGTCAGGAAAGTCTAGAGTGACCCCAGATCTTAGCAAGAGAGGAAAGATAAAAGTAGTACTGAAATTTCCTTGGAGCTGAAAATCTATCAATCCAGATGCCTCTGTGATTTCTTGCCCACAGGTTGAATAGTTAAGTCCACCACATTTAACTAATACACAGGCTTGAACATAGTATCTTCCATGCACTACATGCAAATCATCAAAAGCTCCTAAAACATAAAGTCCATTTGTTTTTTCTAATTGCTTATAGATTAAATTACAACAAAGTGTATTGGAACAAACTTCTATATTTCCTTCTGCATTTAGTATGGGCATTAAGGTAAAATTATCATACATCATGATTCCATAAAATACAGGTAAAAAATCTTGGGATGGCTTTTCTTCTATTTTACAGTCAGTTTCTTGATCTTTATGGCAAATCTGTTTCTCTCTATAAAAATTCAAAGAACTCTTTTGACCATTGTGGGACATTGCATTATTTTCCATATTAGTTTCATGATCTGATGTAATAACTGGGATTTCTGCAACTATAAGTTTCCCATTAATGCTTTCCATATCATAATAAGTGAAAGATTTTGATGGTGTATATATACCACTGCCTGTCATGCCCAAGTCAGGATGATGGATATTTGCTGCCAAAAGATTTATTTTAAAGGCGATTGCAAAAGCTTGTTGAAATTCTACAGCAGACAAAAGTGGGAGTTGATTCATCCATGCAGTAGGATATGCCACCTGGGTTATGTTGTATTGCTTTATAAGGTTTACAGCTGGCTCATAAAATAAAATATCAAAGCAAGTAAAGATTCCAAATCTGCCTGCGAAAGGTGTATCAAAAACCGTATAATCAATCTCTGGTGGAGTATTAAAGGCATACTCAAAGTATAGGTTTTGTTTTCTGTATCTGGCTATCAGTGTGCCATTGTCATTAAATACTACATTGGTATTAAACTGATATCTTCCATCTGGTGGACAGTGGGGATCACTTTGCATGCAGTGCTCTTTAGTTCCCAAATTTACAACTAAAAATATTTGGTTTCTCAACGCCATACAGCTGAGTTGATGGAGAACCTATAAAAGCAAAAGGTTTTTAAAATATTTAAAATGGAATGTTATCTTATATAAAAAAGAAAAACAGTTAGCTACAGTATTGTGTTAACTGACTATTGAATTACCATATTTTTCAGACTATAAGATGCTCCAGATACACCTAGCTTTTAGAAGGAAAACAAAAAAAAAATCTGCCTCTGCCTCCCAGCAATTTGCCTCCTTGCAGCAAACAGCCTAGTCAACTTCAGCACAGCCTGATTTAGCACAAGCAGCTGTTTGGCAGTTGGATCTGCCTCCTGGATAGACCGCAGTGATTCCCATTGCTTGGAACGGGCGAAAAAACAGCATGCATGGAGGCCAAAAATGGGGTGCACGGAGGCCAAAAATAGGATGCACGGAGGCCAAAAATGGGGTGCACGGAAATGGCAATGGGTAGCAGAGGTGATGGGTGATGACAGGTGGTGGCAATCCCCACAGCCTGCAACAGCTGATAGGCATTATTCTGGGAGGCAGATCCAACCACCAATTAGCTGCTCATGCTAAATTAGGCTGTGCTGAAGCTGACCAGGGCGTTTGCTGTTTGCTGCAAGGAGGCAAATTGCTGGGAGGCAGAGGCTGAAGTGTGTGGATCAGTGGTGGGATTCAAAAAATGTTACTACCAGTTCTGTGAGTGTGGCTTGGTGGGGGAGGCATGGCTTGGTAGGCGTGGCAGGGGAAGGATACTGTAAAATCTCTATTCCCTCTACACTCCAGGAGAAGGTTACTGCAAAATCCCCATTTCCTCATAATCAGCTGTGATTTGAGAGGCAGAGAATAGATGGGGGCAGGGTCAGTCAGAGGTTCTCCGAACTACTCAAAATTTCCACTACCGGTCCTCCAGAACTGGTCAGAACCTGCTGAATACCACCTCTGGTGGGAGCTGTCGGGTGGGTGGGGCTTTGGCAACATTCACTGTATAAGACACCCAGACATTTCCACACTTTCCACTTTTTGGGGGGAGAAGTGCATCTTATACACCAAAAAATCCGGTAGGTACAATTTTAGCTTTTAAATGATTTTTATTTGGAAAAGTGCAATAAGAAGATAGAGGAAAAATTACATTAATTAAAGAAATTACCTCAGTGTCATTGAATAAGTAAAATTCTTTGCATGGATTCCATGTCAGAGAGTCCAGATTTGGAATGAAATCCAGGTAAGGATAAATGGACGTCCTTGTGAAGTTGAAACCCTGAATTCCATCTTCAGGAAAAATAATTATTTGGGCTCCCTAACAGTAACAAAAAATATTTATCAGCCAAAGACCAAAAGTGAAATAAAATGATTTCTTTATTAAATAGCTATGGTTTAAGGTATATAATTGCTTTCATTAACAAATAATTTCATAATTATGAAGAAATTAATAGATTGTATTTGTATTTTAATGGAAATTAAATGGAAATTATGACTGAAACACAGTAATTTTAGAAATGAACAAATCTATCTTATGTAGACACCGAATGCAACCATTCCTTCCTCAAGCACTTTATAGGATACCTATAACAAACTCTTACAGTAAAAGTATAAGACATCTTGTTTAACATCACATATTTAATTAATCTAAAAAAAAACAACCCAGGGTGATCTAAGATTCTGGGAACTCATAATAGAAATCAAGGTGATAGTCTCTTAACAGTCCAAATATCTGGTCTACATTTTAATACCTTAATGACTATAATACTACCATACTGCTAAATACTACTACTATATTATGTTATAAAATTGAAGCTAATCTGTTCACTGTTCTTTAGGTCTGTGCGAATTTAGAGTGTTGCAATAAGTTATTTTCAACTGATTTCCAATGGTAGTCAAATTTTATATTAAAAATGGAAAAGACTAATATTCTACCTGTTTTGCTGCATTAATTACTTGCTCTTCATAAATGTCTAGATTCCGCTTCATTAATTGTAATGCATTTTGTCGATCAATGATGGCCGCTGGATTGGGATTCAGGATGGCATGATGTTCATATACAGCAGCAACATAATGTTTTCCTCTTTGAATATCTATGGAAAGAACTTGATGACCAAGAACAAACAAGATGACACTTGCCATGAACCTAAAATGAAAGCAGATGAATATGACCGTGATCAATAACATCCTAGATCAGTAATGTTGAACTTTTTGAGCTTGCAGTGTCAAAAAATCATAAATTACCTAACTTGACTCTTCTGGAGTGTTACCCTCTCTCCTCCCAGGTCAAAAGAAAAACAGTTCATAACGAAGTGTCACTTTGGATAATGTTATTGGTGGCATGTACAAAAAAGAAATGTAAATATATTTTTTAATTTATCTTTGCCTCTCAGAAAAAAAAATGCCCACCAAAAGCAGTTCTAGATCACATGAGGCTTGGAAATGTCAGAGATGCTGTTGTGTAGCTTTGCAGCCTCCAAAAAAACAACAACAACAGAACAAGAGGCCCCTTTCTTGTGTGATTTTTGGATGCTCCGGAGGGTTTGGGGCCCATGTGAGAACTTACCTTATTTTTGTGTGGCCTTTGGAGGCTTCAAAAATTCACATCACACATTTGTGGAGGCTGCAATGGCCACACAAGAATGTGATATGCTCTTGCATGACCTCGGCTCCCTCTAAGTCACATGAGAGGGCCTGCTCTTGCACAATATCTGGAGCCTTTACAAGAACCTCCCAGAAAGGAGCTAGAATCACAATGGTACAACGTGCAATCTCGGAGCTCCAAGATCGCAGTCAATACTTTTGCCGCTGTACAGTCCTTTTGGACCTAAACCTTCCCAAAGGCACAGTGACAAGGATCTCAGGGACATTGCAAAGTCCCTGATTGATCCAAGAGAATCTCTTCTTGCCGGCGACAGAAGTGTAGCCAAAAGCTGCTGAAGTTGGGACAGCTCCGCAATGGGAGGAAAGCGGAAAGAGAAAGTGTGTGTCTGGTGAGGAAATTTTATTGTTATAAAAGAGACTGCCCCCCAAAAATCAAAGCTAAATTAAACTTGCAAAGAAAAGAAAATAAGCAGCAAAATTAAGCTATATTGGACAGTGTGTTATCCTTTTTTTATGGATGGAAGTTTTGCAAATATTTCTTACTTTTTAAAGTGAAAGTATTGGTTTTTCTTCTTCTATTTCTTTTCTTACCTATGGATTAAATCTTTTTCTTTATTTTTATAATATTGGTTTGGATGGGCTTTTTCTCTTTATTTTGCTCTATTTAAGAATTTTGTTTCTTTTAAGCCTGGAATATAAAGAAGATATAAAAGGAATATAAATAGGGTAGTAAAATCAGAGGGAAAAGAAGTTACACTGCCACTTGGAGGTTGAGTCCTGGAAATATTCTTTCTCTTTTTTCTCTTTAACCATTTTGACTTTGCTTCAGCAAACAAGCTTCAGCTTGTTTACAGAAGAGATAAGGAGAAGAGCATAGGTTGTTTATACAGGTGATCTTTGGATGCTTCTTTGGCAACTGGAGAGAAGTGAAAACAAACCTTGTTTTGAAACTAGAGTGGCAGTGTTTACTAGTTGGAAGTATGGCACAAAACCAAAAAGAAACCATAACATTACAGCATTCATTTCATTTCATTTATTTAATTTCTATGCTGCCCAATCCTGGAGGACTCCGAGTGGCTTACAGAAATGAAAAAAAGAATTAAAAAGAATTATTAAAAACAATGGGACACAACAAGTTAAAAAGGGACACAACAGATACTCAATCAGATGGGGCTGGACCTCCATCAAGGAGTCAACAGCCCCAGGCCTGCCGGAAAAGCCAGGTTTTGATGGCTTTGCAAAAGGCCATGAGAGTGGGTAGGGCCCGGATCTCTGGGGGCAGCTCATTCCATAGGGCCGGAGTGGCAACAGAGAAGGCCCTACTCCTAGGCACCGCCAGCCGGCATTGTTCCACTGAAGGTACCCAGAGAAGGCCCATCCTGTGCGATCTTATTGGTCTGAGGGAGGTATGTGGCAGAAGACGGTCCCGTAGGTACCCAGGTCCTAGGCCATGTAGGGCTTTAAAGGTAATAACCAGCACCTTGAATCGTGCTTGGAGACCAATGGGCAGCCAGTGCAGCTCGTGGAGGATAGGTGTGATATGGGTGTACCTTGGCACACCCAGTATCGCTCGCACGGCTGCATTCTGGACTAAGTGCAGTCTCCGAACACAGCAGATTATGCTTGAAATTCAAAAATTATTAGAAACCACAGAGAGAATTGAGAAGAGATTGGAAAATATAGATTGTAATGCAGTAAAATTTGATGGAAAAATTGAAGATATGCAGCAAATGGAAAAAGTGGAGGTTAGAGTTCTAAAAACCCAAGGGAAAAATGAACAAAGAGGCAAGATAATTGTGGGTACTGACAGTGAACTGAGTGTAGTTGGAGATGGAAAGAATGGAACATGGAAAGGGAAGATAGATGGAAAGGATCTCCACCCCAGATTTCAAGGTATAGAAGAAGAAGAAGAAAGAGATGAATTGCTGGATTCAAGGAGAGAAACTTTGACAAAAGCACTACTGATAACCAAAAATAAGCTGATTAAAGAAGCTGACGGAGAGTCTCGAGCTTTTACAAGATATGTAAAAAGCAACAAGTTGCGAAGAGAAGTCCACACAAATTTGATTAAGGAAATAACCAGAAGATTCCACAAATGGCAAAAAACATAAGACTGCACTATTACGGGAAAGACACAGGTTGAGATATGAAAACTAATAA